TTAGATCTTATTGCTGTTGCTAGATTGCTAGATAGTATGGATATTTTTGAACTGTTAGCTCAAGAGAACTGTTAGAGAACTTTTGAACTGTTAGCTCTTCCACAGCATGAGACCGTCTCTAGAGCTTGTAAGCCAAGGTTGGCTAGATTGGCGCTTGAAGCTTGGCGCTTGAAGCTTGGCGCTTGAAGCTTGAAGCTTTAGGCTTAGCCAGCTTTAGGCTTAGCCAGCTTTAGGCTTAGCCAGCTTTAGGCTTAGCCAGCTTTAGGCTTAGCCAGCTTTAGGCTTAGCCAGCTTTAGGCTTAGCCAGCTTTAGGCTTAGCCAGCTTTAGGCTTAGCCAGCTTTGGCTGCCGCTTTAGGCAGCCAGCTTTGGCGCCAGCTTTAGGCTAGCCAGCTTTAGGCTTAGCCAGTTTTAGGCTGCCAGTGTTAGGGCCGTGTTGGCGCCGTGTTGGGCTTGCCAGTGTTGGCGGTGTTAGGCGCAGTGTTGGTTAGCCAGTGTTAGGCTTAGCCAGCTTTAAGTTGAATTGACTTCTGGCTGATTCTTTAGTCTTTATTTATAGCAGAAAGTTTAAACCTTTATTTTAAAATCCCAGAAAGTTGAGCAATCTTTTTATCACAGTTTAACTTGAGTCAATTTAGTACGCTCAAATCGTGATGGTTTTGGAGAGATCGGTAAACCGGGAGAAGCTAGCCGCTTGTCAATTGGAGTACTCGATTAAATTGAATGAAAGCAGTGATACAGGAATGGAAATCCGAGGTGAAATGCTTGATAAAATCGTTACAATTGTAGTTACAATCTACAGGACTCATGGTCATCAAACAGACGAAAAAAACGAGAGCAAAACAAAGGAAACAAGCGATTAACAATTGGAAGAATATTGGGAGAAAGGTGATCTTTTTGAATTGTAACTAGCATTCAAAAAATAAAGCTGGGATTGTAGTACATTGTAGTACATTGTAGTACATTGTAGTACATTGTAGTACATTGTAGTACATTGTAGTACATTCAAAAGACTTAGAACATGAAGAAAACGATGAGTGATTGATTTTGATTGATTTTGATTAATGATTTATTTGATTTTTTTACTGATTTAAGTCAAAACAACTCTTTAGAGAAGCTTTGGAAATTTTGAGATGATTTATCTAGATTTTAAATATCTTAAATATCTTAAAGCCATTATTTCAGGTAATTCATACAATTGAGAAAGTCGGTGTCGATCATGCAATCCTTCTTCTTCATGGACATGATCGACTTGTCGATGAGGAAAGAGTACCAAGTCGAAATCGAACACCGACACGGTAAGCTTGATAGTATTCGTTCCCTAGGTATAAACGGATGTGGACTAGAATTTGGGTTTAGTTAAAGAGAGTGGATCCCTTTTGATATCCCGCCATCTCTGACATCTCTAACGAATAGATCTCTAACGAATAGATTACATCTCTAACACCCCGACAACCCAACTCAACTCCTCCAACGTATTAGAGGGGAGTCCCTGTGAAAGCTATACTGACCGATCTGTACTGCAGTTGCATAGACCCGGAAGATATGTATCTTTATTTACAGTAGTATAATAAGACGAATAGATTACAAATGAGTGTAAGGGGAAGGGGGGACTCCAAATGAGAGTCTCATTTGTCCTCCTAGGCAATCCCAAGAACCGCCCCTTCTCGGCAATAAAAGAAATAAGCACAGGGGAGAACACATTTGCATAAGAATAGACAAATCATTCAATAATAACAATAGTAACTAAAATATCAGTTTGACTCGGAGCTGACAATAGTCAATTTCCTCAAATCAGATTCTAAAGATTAGATTGTTTATTTTCTAATCATTAAACACCAGAAAGTTCAGAAGAAAGTCCTTTTTAAACTTGAAATCAACAAATCCATTAATCATCAATGAATTATCAATCATCAATCTATCAATCAATCATCCATCAACAATTAAACGACTCCCAAGACAACTCTAGAGATTTCCTTTCCAGACTAACAACCGGTAGTCGAACACGGCCAAAAACAGTGACTCGTGAGTTGTCAACAGCTGGAAATGGTTCGATGACGGAAAGAAAAGTGCATAGTCCTTTCGAATTTGCTGAGGTGGTCACTGAAAAAGCGCGTTTCGAAGAGGTTCGTGTTGGAACGGCTGCCCGTCCACTCTCCTCACTCTCCACCATTTCCACAGCACTTCAGGTAAAAATGGATGAGCGCTTGGAAACACATAAACTATCCGCGCCACAAAGTCTCCACAATGAGGTTAGCAAATGTTGCTGTGTTTTTGAAAGGAAAACTTGCTGTGAACTGTTTTAAGCAATTTCTGTGCTTTGTTTTACGCAAACAAAAAAACTCTCCTAAACTCACCCTTTCTAGCACACAAAAGTCTTCATTTTTTTTAAAGGAAATAAAGATTTTAATATTTTAATACACTAGAAAAAGTATTTACTGCTTAAATTTTAAATTTAAGCAGTAAAATGGTCTTTTTTTTTGTTTGCAGTGTCACTTTGAATATTAAGTTTTCTAAGTCTTAAGTTTTCGTTTCAAATCAATTATTTTTTTCAATATTGTAATTTAATTGGATAAAAGACTTTGAATTAACTGTATTTTTTAAGAAAATCCTCAATTTTAGCCAGTAATCAACGAATCTGAAAAAACAAAATCTTTTTGCACTAGAAGAGATGGGTTTACAATTTTTAAACCACAAAGTACAATTTTTGTAGCTTTATTGATTTGAATGGCTTTCCAGAAATACAACTTACTCTTATCGAGAATTTCCCAAACGTTGAGCGTCTCAAAAAAGCTCCAATTCCCATCGAGAGTGATTAGTGGAAGGCCATCAACCTATAAGCTTTTTTCTATCGTGGTCCAGTTGCCGTTATGGCCGAGTGGTTAAGGATCTTGTATACTAGCCGGGAAGTCACGGGTTCGAGCCTAGCGCCTAGAAAATTTTTGCTTTTTCCTCTAGTTTTTTCTCTGGAACATCTTTAGAGGTATTCGAGCAGTGTGTTGAGTTTTGTATTTGTTTATATTTCACATTATTCATATTACATAAATCTATATAAATGCATAAACTTACACTCATTTTGAGGCCACTTTTTTTAGCGCAAAGGGTAAAGGGAAAACTTGCTGTGAACAAATTTCTCTGCTTTGTTTTACGCAAAAACAAAACTCTCCTAAACTCATCCTTTCTAGCACACAAAAGTCTTCATTTTTAAAGGAAATAAAGATTTTAATATTTTAATACACTAGAAAAAGTGTTTACTGTTTAAATTTTAAATTTAAGCAGTAAAATAATATTTTTTTTGTTTGCAGTGTCACTTTGAATCTTAAGTTTTCTACTTTTTATCAAACCTTTTTAAATCAATTATTTTTTTAAATATTGTAATCTAATTGGATCAAAGACTTTGAATTAACTGTATTTATAAGAAAATTCTCAATTTTAGCCAGTAATCAACGAATGGCAACCCACAAATGCCCCTTTGGCTGAAGTCGAGGAAACGAGCACGCCACATGTATCCATCACAATGCAACAGGAAATCCTTGGACAACAAAGGGTGCATAGCTGAAGAATCTAACAGTTTCTGGCTTCTCTAATACCTCTAAGCTGACTCTTACAAATCCTTTTTCCAGGTTCGTGTTCGTGGCGCTGAGATGATCCCCTCAAACGATGTCCCCAACATGCCCACCTCCACCCAGCCACATCGGTAATCAGATGTCATTTTTATGAGAACACACCATCACAGAATCTTTGGCACTGCATGGTTTCACGAATAGTTTAGCACTATGTTTTATTGGGACTCAGCCAGACCCAGGCTAGGCTAGGATCCGGCCAAGATCCATAGTCTACCGTCAGGCCAAGGAGAAGCTAGAGTCCAGGGTTAGACCAGAGTCAGGCCAATTTAGGGTCTGCCAGGGTCTAGGCTTAGACCCAGCGCTCAAACCAGGCCAAACCAGGCCAAACTAAAGAGCAGCTAGGATCCAGGGTCAAATCAGAGCTTAGCCAAGGTCTAGGACTTAGGATTAGGACAGGATCCAGAGCCAGGCTGCGATTCAAGATCCGTCCAGGATCAAGCCAGGATCCGTCCAGAGTTCTGGTGTTTCTTCTGGTAGTTTGACTCTGGCCTCTATACTATCTTGGCCTTGAAAAATGAATCTTAGAAAGATCTTGGCTTTGTTTTTAAAAAAATCAATTCCAGAGCCGTTTCCCCGAAAGTACGGACGGATATGTTCCGTCGAAAGGACTCGCCCGGATCTGGTGGATCAAAATAAACATTTTCTTTTTTTGTTTATTATATTTTCGTTCATTTTCATTCATTTTAAGAGAATTCAGTTTTTTCTTTGATTGATAGATTCGATCTCGTCATTTTTTTGGGTTTCCATATTCGATTTTTACATTTTCCATATGTTTGTGCCTATTTAAAGCCCATTTTTTTTTCAAAATTTTTGTAAATTTTAACTTAAATCCGAAGAATTTTAGCCAGATTGCCTTTTTTGCTTTTTTTTTAAACCAGAATACATCTTAATCGATTGAAAATCAATTTATTGCGAGAAAAGAGTTTTTTTGAAGGAAAGAACGCTGCAAATTTGGACCCGTATCGTTGAGAAAATCGAACACATAAGGTTAAGAGAAAAAAAAATGAAAAAAATAGTCAGATGAGGATTCGAACCACCGATCATCAGACTGGAAAGCGAGTTCGCTAGCCACTTGACTAAAGGTGCTTTCTGAGAGAGCGATAAAAGATGCATGAAATAGAGCCCGGTTCAAATTCTGACTGTCAACCCGTCAAATTGAGAACTGAGATGTTTAGAAATGTTCTTTAATGTGTACTTTGTGCGTAAAAATGTAAACACAATCTTTCTGGTGCACTAATTTTTTTTTTGAAAAAACGCTTTGAAAAAAATTTTTTTTTTTGAAACGAGTTTGCCAGAAAGAGTGCGTTTATAGAAATTTGAGATAAAGTAGACTTTAAAGAACAAGAGAAAAGCAGAATATTTACAAAATCGCTCAACAAAAGTATTCTTTATTTGAGAGAGTGCTCTGAACGAGTGGCTCTTCCGATCGTGAGCCTGAGCCACTGTATTGCTCGACACCCTGAAAAGCTTATGAGATTTGTTTATTGTGACTATTGTTATGACTATAACTGTCCTATCATTATCCCAATTCTCACCTCATTTGTCTTATAGACTCCCTCTGGTCTTGATCTCATCCAACATACCAAAACGCAAAGTGTTAACAGTAGAACTCCACCCAAACAAGCGCCACCAATTGCTAAAGTTTCGATTTTGTAATATTCTTATTTTCTTTCTTCTTTCTTCTTTCTTCTTTCCTTTCTTCTTTCTTCTTCTTTCTTCTTCTTCCCCCTTATCTTTCTTTCTTTCTCTTGGTAAGATAAGTACCGAATAGCTCAATAGTTAGAGTAATTGCTTGAAAAGCAAAAGCCCGGAAAGCCGATACTTCAATCTCCTACTGGAAATCTATCTGCAATTCCTTTACTATATTTTGACAACCTAGCCTGGTTGAATTCCATCCAAATTACAGTATCACTCTTGTAAATCAGTCTAATATTGTAGAAAGCTTAGAGGATCAAAAGCAGGGGAACATGGTAGAGTTATAGAATTTTTTATCAAGGGTACTAGAGAAAGGTCAAGGCTATTTTTGATGCGCATCTAGTGTATTTGATAGAGCTTTAAATGAGGATTCCGAATTTGCTTCTAGTTTTTCTAATGGAGCTCTGTATCGTAAGATATCTGGCTTCAAGGTTTAAGTCTGAAATCCGACTGTATTTCAGTAGATACTAGATGATAGCAGCTATGATCTAGAGGTAAATCGCTGGAATCCCAGCCAGAAGAATCCTGGTTCGGTTCCCGTTACTGACATGTTAATGAAATGACGGCGGCTCGACTTCTAACAACGGACGAAATCGAGATCTCATCGAACGGGGTACTTGTCGGCTCTTCTTGGCTAACCTCTCTGAAAGATAGCAAATAGAAACTTGAATACTGTATAAGATCTATAGTTCTATAGTTCTATAGTATTTAAAACTCACAGACTATTCACTGGACAAGTCCCGAATCGAATATTTCCTGTGTGTTTTAAACGGGAAGCTTTCGCGTTTTTCAACGGAAAAGAGTTTCCCACTCGTAGTCGTGAGACGCAACCAGTGAAATCTGAAAAAAAACAAGATCTTTTTGCACTAGAAGAGATGGGTTTACAATTTTTAAACCACAAAGTACAATTTTTGTAGCTTTATTGTTTTGAATGGCTTTCCAGAAGTACAACTTACTCTTATCGAGAATTTCCCAAACGTTGAGCGTCTCAAAAAAGGTCCAATTCCCATCGAGAGTGATTAGTGGAAGGCCATCAACCTATAAGTTTTTTTCTATCGTAATTCAGCTGCTTTTGTGGCTGAGTGGATAAGGATCTTGTATACTAGTCGAGAAGTTACGGGCTCGATTCTGGCCGTTGGAAAATTTTACTTTTTCCTCTAGTTTTTTCTCTGGAACATCTTTAGGAGTATTCGAGCAGTGTGCTGAGTTTTGTATTTGTTTATTTCACATTATTCATATTGCATAAATCATAAAAGCATAAATAAATCATATGCATAAACTTACACTCATTTTGAGGCCGCTTTTGTTAGCGCAAAGGGTGATATCGTGGAGTCGTTCATCGTTCACCACAACACTTCGATCCGATTTTCGATGCGTGAACATAAACCCATCCCAGCCGATCACAGAGAGATGGCCTAAAGTTTGTTTTGCGAAAAATTGAGCACCATTTCTGGTATACGAATTTCAAGTAAGAACTTCTAGAACTTCTAGTAAGTCCTTCAAGTCCTTCTAGTAAGTCCTTCTAGTCAGTCCTTCTAGTAAGTTCTTCTAGTCCTTCTAGTAAGTTCTTCAAGTCCTGCAAGTCCTTCTAGTAAGTCCTTCTAGTCAGTCCTTCAAGTCCTTCTAGTAAGTCCTTCAAGTCCTTCTAGTAACTCCTTCTAGTAACTCCTTCTAGTAAGTCCTTCTAGTCGTCCTTCTAGTAAGTCAAAATTTCAAGTCAAACCTTTCCCACTCATCGACAAATTGAAACGAGCTGCGGAAAAGAGTGAGCGTCCATGAATCAAAGAAATGTTTGAGGAAGCTGTCTAAAGTATTTTTTTGATGTTTATGATTAATCAAACACCTAAGAACTAGACAAATTTTGTAAATTACTGTACTTGAATAGCCATTCGATGACAAAGATCTTGTTGATTCGGGTTTTGCCATGGGATCTCGAGTGAAGAGTTCAATGGTACCCACATACCGTATTCTGGAAAAAGAACAAATCAACTTGCTCAACAAACAGAAACAAACACTTTCTGGCATATTGTCAAGTAAAGTTGTCTTGTTCTTTGAAGCCTTTCCGACTTAAAGAAGAATTCAGTGCACCAGAATGTTTATACATCAAGAACTCTTTTTTTAAAACCTTTTGTGCAATCGTGTCCTCCAAAAGGTGTCAACGAGCAATCGCAACGATGTGAATCGAAGCCATCAACGCATAAACCACCATTGTGACAGAAACCTGGTTGACAGGATCCACCCTCTCCAATCTGAACACAGTTCTCAGTTTTGTAGAAGAATATAGATAATTTAACGCCCGCCAATCGATTCCCCGATCTCGAAAACTCAAGATCGCAAATTTACAGCTGAATACAGCTATTCTATCATCAAAAGAGAAATCCCTAGAAATGACTAGATGCTCTTTGTGCGCCCACGTAATCGCTCGCCGTCTGGCAACCCGCCTTAGCATAAGGGCTTCCCTTTTCGGCTTCGAAGAGATGTGCAAAGACGTTAGAACTCGCGAAATCAATGGCTCAACTATCAATCAATTAATCAATGCTTTATCAAACAAAGTGGCTCGGCAGAAGATGGCTCGACAAATTTAGCCAAAATTTCCGACAAAATTTCCGTGTTTGCCTCATGTCTATGCTCAAGCTTTTTATCCATTTTTCCCTTCAAATTTTAATATTTTTTTTAAATTCTACATCTGATAGTAAAAAAAAAGTTTATTAGTTTGTCTTTTTTAAACTTAGCGTCACGATTTAAAAAATTTTTTTAAAATCAAAGTTTTACTAATAAACAAAATTTTTTTTATTACTATGAGATGTAGAATTTATAGAAAATAGTCAAATTTGAAGGGAGAAATGGATTCCCCGAATCCTTTACCTTTAGATTGTCTACATTTTTCTAGAAATTCAATTTCCGGTTAAATTCTTGCGTTTTTAATTAGTTCATGGTATTTAAAATCTGATTTGATTCATTGATAAATTGATTTTGAATACCTAAGAATCTTTTTAAACTCTCTAGGCTTTCTAAATTTTCTAGGCTTTCAAAACTTTCTAGGCTTTTTAAACTTTCTAGGCTTTCAAAACTTTCTAGGCTTTCTAAACTTTCTAGGCTTTCAAAACTTTCTAGGCTTTTTAAACTTTCTAGGCTTTCTAAACTTTCTAGGCTTTCTAAACTTTCTAGGCTTTCTATACTTTCAAGACTTTGAAAACATTCTAAGCTTTCTAAACTTTCTAAACATTCTAAACTTTCAAAACTTTCAAATCCTGACCTCAACCCCTTTCACAGGCGCCTTTCTAGCCGAGTTCCCCAAAACGATCTCCTCTCCACAAAGATAGATATTCCTGAGTACTCCCGCGAATCCCGTCAACCCTTTGCCCTCTCTTGATCCAAATGTCCATTGATGTACATTTGGAAGCAAGATAAGACCCTTGTAATGAACAGTCGATCCATCAACACTCAATCGCATCTAAAGTTTTTGAAGTTTAAATTTTGAATTAAAATCTAGGAATAAATTTGCCTAAACTTACGCCCAAAGAGTCAGCTTCCCAATAGATTGAATGCCATTTTCCATCGTTGAATGCTTTCTTTGTTGATAGAGTCACCGTTTCACCGCCATTTACAATCTCTCCAATGAGTTGACCACCTGTAAGTCAAAAATGTTTTAATAGGTTTTAAAATTGAATGGATACAAGTATCAGATCGATCATGTAAAGAGTTCAAGTATTAGGTTTGAAAGAAAGTTCTCGGAAAAAGTCGTTTGTACGATGATTTCTCATAAACCAAACCTTTCCAGATAAACTTAACTATATTGCAGAAAGTTTTTTAACAAAAAAACAGAGTGGGCTTCAGGTAAAAAAAGAGATTTCTTCAACTGAAGTGACTTGATCACTTTTTTAGACGAGTTTTTAATGGGGCAATGGGTCTCATTCAAAACCTAAAATGAAATACTTAAAATAGGGAAAATTTTTGATAAAGGAAAATTTTATGCTAATGCTTTAACTTTTCAGAATCACCTATTAGTGCCACTAAACACTTACAGCTTCTTTGTAAACACAGTAAACACTTAGTGCCAAAGAGATGACACCAAAAAATTCAATCAAAAAAATGATTTTTTTTTTTTTTAAATACAGCTTCTATGTAAAGAATTTGTTGACCAAAAATAGAGATTATAGCTCATTTATGATTGCTATTTATTGGGTTGATGCATAATTATCCGGACTTCTTTTGCGTGCTTGTATCTTTTTGTTTTGAAAGCTTTTTTGTCTATTTCTTTTTTTTAAATATTCGTTATTCTTTAGTGAACAAAATGCGTGTCGACAATCATATCCATCTTCGCCATATCATGCTCTACCACTTCGAAAAGGGATGGTCTGCCGCAGAGTCGTTTCGCGATCTCAAAGAACTGGAGAAGCCCCAACGGACTACCACGTCAATCGATCGCTCAAAAATTGGCAAACAAATAAGATCTACAACGATTTGGATGACTTGATAGACGATGTTAAAGCGTGGATTGCCTCCAAAGATCGTTTATTCTTCGCTCGTGGAATCGATCGTCTTCCAAGCAAATGGCAATCAGTTATTGATGTAGGCGGTGAATATGCTCCAGAATAATCAATTAAACATATTTTTCTAACTATTTATGTTATTTTTTGTTAAATAAAATCATTTATAAAAGAAGTCCGGATAATTATGCATCAACCCAATATATTGCTCATTTATGATTGCTTTAAACTCATCAGAAATCGTTTTTCTCGTTCAAAAAAAGTGAGCTGAATTTAAGCTGGAAAAGAATAATGTTTCAAAAATCTTCAAAATTTAAGGGAAAGCTTTACTCATTTTTTTTTTTTACGAGTAATTTCTTGAAGTCGACTTTTAAATAATAGAATAAAATGTTCTTGAATTGGTGGATTCGTTGGATGGAGTCTTGGTCTTGGTCACTAATACACAAAAAAAAGACTTGATCACTTTTTGAGTGAGCAGCCTTTAGACGAGTTTTTATTGGGTTGATGCATAATTATCCGGACTTCTTTTATAAATGATTTTATTTAACAAAAAATAACATAAATAGTTAGAAAAATATGTTTAATTGATTATTCTGGAGCATATTCACCGCCTACATCAATAACTGATTGCCATTTGCTTGGAAGACGATCGATTCCACGAGCGAAGAATAAACGATCTTTGGAGGCAATCCACGCTTTAACATCGTCTATCAAGTCATCCAAATCGTTGTAGATCTTATTTGTTTGCCAATTTTTGAGCGATCGATTGACGTGGTAGTCCGTTGGGGCTTCTCCAGTTCTTTGAGATCGCGAAACGACTCTGCGGCAGACCATCCCTTTTCGAAGTGGTAGAGCATGATATGGCGAAGATGGATATGATTGTCGACACGCATTTTGTTCACTAAAGAATAACGAATATTTAAAAAAAAGAAATAGACAAAAAGCTTTCAAAACAAAAAAGATACAAGCACGCAAAAAGAAGTCCGGATAATTATGCATCAACCCAATAATTTGGCGAATGAATAAGCAATTGGTCTCATTCAAAACCTAAAATGAAATACTTAAAATAGGGCAAATTTTTGATAAAGGCAAATCGAATGCTTTAACTTTTTAGAATGATCTATTTGAGTAAACACTTAGTGTCAAGAAGATGACACTAAAAAAATCATTTTTTTTTTTTTTAAACACAGCTTCTATGTAAAGAATTTGTTGACCAAAAATAGAGATTATAGCTCATTTATGATTGCTATTTATATTGCTCATTTATGATTGCTTTAAACTCATCAGAAATCGTTTTTCTCGTTCAAAAAAGTGAGCTGAATTTAAGCTGGAAAAGAATAATGTTTCAAAAATCTCCAAAATTTAAGGGAAAGCTTTACTCATTTTTTTTTTTACGAGTAATTTATTCTTGATCTTGGTCACTAATACACAAAAAAGACTTGATCACTTTTTGAGTGACCAGTCTTTAGACAAGTTTTTAATGGGTTAATGAATAAGCAATTGGTCTCATTCAAAACCTAAAATAAACTACTTAAAATAGGGAAATTTTTGATTAAGGCAAATTTTTTCTAATGCTTTCCCTTTCAGAATCATTTATTTTGGTAAACCCTGAATTTGAAATTTGAATTTTGAATTTTTAAGTTAATTTTTCTTATCCAAATGTTAAATGGTATTTGTTATGATTAAACTATTGGGTTGGGGAGAATGAGTCGGCGCCGAAAATCAAAAAAATGTCTAAAACTTCTATTCGACTTCGTCAAATAATATGCGTTTGATATCAGTAGAATGGCTAACTAATTCTCTACAAAATGACATTTAAAAGAAAATTCAAACAGCGCCTCCGCTCAAGAAAAAGCCATTTTTTCACAAAAACTACAAACTGTGATCTAGAAAAAACCATTGGTGGGATCTTCCTGCAAATTTGGCAACTTAAGTAATTGAATGTGCTCTATCTTTTTTATATAAACACCAAAGAAGGTTTATGTGAAAGAAACTGTTCAAATGATGAGTCGGACTCTTTGCCATTTTAACCAGCTGCGTTTCGAAGTTCATAAACTCCACGAAAGAAAAGCTTTGTGGAATCTCTCAAAAGTGATTTTGTAGAGAAATAGTGGATCCTTTTGATGAAACCAAACGTATGTTTAAAGAAGGCTTTATGTGTGCAAAAAGTCCCTTTAAAGTTTGGCGCCGACTCATTCTCCCCAACCCAATAAAACAAAACAATAATCAATGCAACAATAAGATTACTTTAAAGACTAAATGAATTACTTTACGGTTTACTCGGTTTTAAACCATAAATGAATAACTTTACTAAATGAAAATTGAGCAAATATTTGTCTACGATCGAGCTTTGTTCAGAAGCAAGCTTTAGCTATACATTTGCATTCATTTTTCAGCATTTTTCAATAGCATTTTTCACATAATTTACCTTTAATATAAAGTTGAAACCAATGCAACCCGTCGACGCTTTCCCAAGTGAAAATTGAGAGTAATGAATGAGTGAAACGAATGTGAAGAAGTAAAGAGAAATGATCGGTTGGAGGACGAGAAGAACCGGATAATCGCGCGTTTTTCGAGCTGAATGTCACCGATTCGAAGACCACTGAAACGAGTAGATTAAATCTATTTCGATATTTTGATAATCTAGCAAAAGCTTTAGCCATACGCTATTCTTTCTCTTTATTCTTTGTCTTCTTTAGAAAAGCAGACACCGATAGCTCAGTGGTAGAGGCTTGGACTTAGTGCGAAGGCTAGCGGCTAGCGCCTAGCACTAAGTCTATTTGTGGTTTGGGCTAAACCCCCATTTTCTGGATCTCAGCCAGTTCTCGGAGCTAAGGGACACCCGCTTGGCGATGCTCATCCGCCTTAGGCTTAGGCTTGGGGTGTGGAGGGGTAAGCAAAGGGTCCAGGGTTCAATTCCCTCTCGGTTCAAAATTCTTGATCAGCCTTTTTTTTACTTTACTTATTTAATAATATATCCTATCTGTTTATTAATATCTAGTTTTCACTGTTATACATTTTTATTTTTATAATTTTTCATTTTTTTTTTTATTATTTTTATCTACTATTTTACTACTATTTTTTTTTTTTTTACCCTCTTCTATCTTTTTGTTTATCTACTGTTTATCTACTGTTTATTTACTGTTTATCTACTGTTTATCTACTTTTCATTCTAGAACTCACTTTTATTTCTACAAATCAACGGTCCAATGGATACATTGACGGCTGAGGTGCTGCTTGTACCGCCCAAATAAAGAGCTGTGACTGGAAGAAGTTGTGGGAAAGGATTCCAACCGACATCAACCCCATCTTCGCCTGAGTCACAGTTGCACATTCTAAAATTATCGATAGCTTCAGGCGATAGTTTGCACAATGACTCAATAAGGATCCCTAAAAGTACTATAGTAAACCTATGGAGTTTAAGCTCTTTTTAAAAGGTTACAATCATTAGTTACAATGATTAGTTACAATGATAGCTTTAAATAAAGAGCTTAAGTTTAAGAAACTAAAAGATATTCAAGTAAAACTTAGGTTCTTGAAAGATTTTTAAAGGAAAATAACCTGTTATGAATACAAGTTGAATTCACCGCACAACTGCACATCCGAGAGTAGGGTGGAGCCTAGAAATATCGAATTGTTGAATGTTCTTGATGTTCTTGTTCTTGATGTCATTCTAGATGTCATTCTAGATGTCATTCTAGATGTCATTCTTGATGACATGCTTGATATCATTCTTGATGTCATTCTTGATAACATTCTTGATGACATTCTTGATGACATTCTTGATACATTCTTGATGTCATTCTTGATATCATTCTTGATATCATTCTTGCTTTTCGACTATACCTCTCCCCATTGTAGCGCATGTTTATCACTTCTTGTCGCATACCAACTTGATGGTGTCCTCTCATCATTGTATGTCATTAAACGTGCCCCTCCCCGACAACTATAGGACATCCACTGGAATTGAATAAAGAATGAATTCATTGATATTCATTGATCCAACAAATCCAACAAATCCAACAAACCCAACAAACCCAAACAAAATCCAAAAAGACTATCAGTTCAAATCATCTTCTTTTAAAGCTACTCACTTGTTGACATTCATCAAACCCTTCGACTAAAGCATCCATTTCCTCCTGTGCCAGCCCGTAATCAAGCCCTCTTTTAACGGCTCCTGGTTTCTGTTCTCCAGAAACGATTACAGGATTGATAAGATCATGACTCAACATAGTTGTTATCTAAATTTTATCGCAGTTGTTATCGCATCCCTTTAGCCTTCTTCATTCCCCTCACCACAACATTTCCCCCATTCAATTCAACGTCTCGTTTACATTGCATCATAAATGATCTCAATTTTGATCCACCATCAATGTCCACTGTCACATTTCTGTAAAATTGAATTGAAAGCTTAAAAGTTAAACCACTTTTACCGTAGCTTTGCATTCATTGGCTCGCTTTTCTTAAGCTTTCGATCTCGAAAGAAAAACCATTCCTCACAAGAACGATAGTGCTCGGCTGAAGAGATGAATGAGTGGTAAAAAGTATGAAAAAACTTACAAGTAAAGCAATTTGTCCCAGAATAACCTTTTGGACAATCGCAAGTGTACTCTGTTAACGAGATCTGCGAGCATTCACCACCGTTTGCGCATGGGTTTGGCAAGCAACTGAAATTTAGTGTTTATTCTCTTTCTTTCTTTCTCTTCTCTCTTAGATTTCCGTTTCTTTTCTAGCAAAAAGATATTGAATGGCTCAGTGGTTAGGCTTAGGCTTAGGCTTAGGCTTAGGCTTAGGCTTTGGCTTAGGCTTAGGCTTAGGCTTAGGCTTAGGCTTAGGCTTTGGCTTAGTGCGTAGGCTAGCGGCTAGCGCCTAGCACTAAGTCTATTTGGGTTTGGGCTGAACCTTAGGCTTAGGCTTAGGCTTTGGCTTAGGCTTAGGCTTAGGCTTAGGCTTAGGCTTAGGCTTAGGCTTAGGCTTAGGCTTAGGCTTAGGCTAAGCCTAGCAATTGCCTGGAAAAGAAGGAAAGCCTCGTTCAATCCCCTTTTCGGAAATCTTTCTTTTAAGGAATGTCCTTGAAAACTAGAAAACAACACTTTTAGAATTGCCATTAGAATTGTCCAAATTGTCCAAGAAGGTTAAAGTTTAAAACAGAATTGAGAAATAAGTTGATTGTATCCAAAAAGTTCTCACCGATCAATCATTGCACACTTCATCCGCTCCACTTTTCCCTCAGTTCTCACCGTCGCGAAATCAAGAGTCGTCGAGCGGTAACAACCCGGTGAAGCGATCACCAGTGAGGAGAGATGGACGGAGATTCGACGCACCTGAAAATGTTTTGCTGATCTAGGGGATGAAGATGAAGATCAAGATATAACAATCTTTGCTCACCTCCGATCCCTCCAACCACAGCACAGTGAAACCATCGATATCCACCTCGAGTCTTGACCCTCGAATTCTCAGCGATAACCCATGCCAACCACCATCGGCCACCGAAATCGCTAAAAAAGGAATAAGAGATAGAGGGATTGAGAGATTTTCCCCTAAACTTACCAGGATGTGAGATCTGTTTGAACTTGGTGAAGTTCGAGATCAACTGCAACGTTTTCCCGTCTTCGAGGGTTATCTAAGGAAATGGATTAGATTGATCATTGATCTAATTGATTATTGTTCTAGTCGACTATTGATCTAATCGACTATTGATCTAATCGATTATTGATCTAATCGACTATTGATCTAATCGATCATTGCTCTAATCGATTATTGATCTAGTCGACTATTGATCTAATCGATTATTGATCTAATCGATCATTGCTCTAATCGATCATTGATCTAAAACCTTGAGCAAAGTTCCATTCTTTGTGTCGAGTAGATGTAGAAGAATTGATGGAGTGGGGAGAGTTCGGAATTCGAAAGAGAATGGGAGAAACGAGAAAGGAACCCAAGCAGATGCACCTGGGTGGAGAGAGATTGCTGGAGGACGAGCCATCTAAAGAATTTTGTGAAATTGAGAAAAGACCCATATTTTTCCTGTAATCTCACCTGACACGGTGCGTCGAAATCGGATGGAGCGTGCGCCAGTAAATCCACTCCATTCAACGCCATTCTTGCCAAACATCCGTGAAACGAGGACTCGACATTAGGTGAGAATTCGTCTGGCGGTCGGCCGGCTACATGCACCTGGAAAGTTTCATTATCTTGTCAAGTCAGGGAAAAGCTTTGCATCAGTAGAAAGACCTGGTGCTTACTACTGAGCTTACTGATCTGATTGATCTGATTGATCTGAGCTTTTTCTCTCACCTGTGAATGCAAATCGAGTTTTCTGTAGAGTCCAGTTGGAGTGGTTTGATTTAGAAGGACTCCATCGATACTAGAAATTCGTTTATAGTTGTTGTTGTTGTTGTTGTTGACAAATGTTGTCAACTTTGTCAAACCTCAATTGAACAGAGTCAAACTGATGTACCCATCTCATCTCATGCCATTCCCCATCGTCAAGCGCTCGACCACCCGAGATTTTCGATGGTGATAGAGAACCTAATGTTTTATAAAGATTTCTTAATTTAGAAATGATAATGCCATTCAAGAATTTAGCTAAACGAGTTGAATTCAACGATAAAAACGAACCAAAATCAAAGATCACTTGAATAGTTCCTTGAATAATTTGAGCTATAAGGACATCTCCATGATCGGATAGAGAAAAGAAAAAGAGGCCCGAGCGAAAAGTTCTAAAGAAAATAGTGATTGATGATTGATTAGATCAATGATTGATTAGATCAATGATCGATTAGGTCAATGATCGATTAGATTTTTTTAATAGTTCCTTGAATAATTTAAGCTATTAGCACATCTCCATGATCGGATAGAGAAAAGAAAAAGAGACTCGAGCGAAAAGTTCTAAAGCTAATATCATTTAAATAAACAAAAAAAATCAAACGATCATTTATATTCAGGATTTTCCCAAAGACAGTTTCTCAAAGTCAGAAGTCTGACTCTTGTCTGATATCAGTCCAGAAAAGTCCAGAAAAGTCTTTGGGTTCAAAAGCCAGACTTGAACCTGGTCACAAGTCTAGTCCAATAGCCTTATTGACCCTAGACTGACCCTGACAAAGCTAACAGCCTTATTGACTCTGACAAAGCTAAGAGCCTTACTGACCCTGACAAAGCTAACATTTTCTATCACTTTAGTACAAATTTCCCCTAAAAACTAACCGAAACTGTACAGTGAGCTCATTTTCGTACATTGCAACTAGAGCTGTTTTCGAGACATCCACCGAGAATGGAGAATCCGAAAGAGATAACATTCGAGAGTCTAAACTTTTGCCCTTTTTCTATCAATCAAGATCTATCTATCAATATTCTTTTATCAGTAACAAGCCAAAACCTACCGTAATCACAAACAGTCATTACAAGAGCTGGCTGATGCTTTTTGTTGTCTTTATAGACGGAAATGATTCGAACGAGGTTCACGAGGAGATCGATATGTTGCCAAGATGGAATGTTGGAAAGTGATGAGTAGAGGACCTAGAAAAGTCTCTTCAACCAGTTTTTAGTAAAGATCTTTCAAATTTATGATAAAATTTATGACAATCCTGTTTAAAATGTCGAAACTTATTAGAGAATCGACTTTTTATCTCCTTTTTATCACCAAAAGAATGATTAAAGAAAAACTGGTTAAAAACTGGTTTAACTACAGAGAAAAAAACTGGTTTAACTACAGAAAAACTCGTTTAACTACTTATTCAACGAATACAATAGTTTTTAAAAGGTTTATTGAAAAATTTACCATATTTTTCCCGGTTGACGTCTGCACATTTCGTGGTGGTGCATCGCCCATCGAAGTCTGCACGTAGAAAGCCGAGATTTGACCGAGTACGGCTGAAATTTGTTTTAAAGATACCTGAGGTGATATATTAAATGTAAATTAGTGTTTTACATATAAATCTGAGGTATCTGACCTCCCGAAGTGAGATACCTGAGGTGAGACACAGCTACGAGTAAAAACACTAGCTTAAAGATAGTTACGAGTACAGCTTTTTGAACAACACGAGCTTTTTGATTAGTATTTTGTCTAAAGAATAAGAAGAAGTACTTTTGATTCAATCAAAAACATTTCAAACATTGAATTTGAATTTGAAAACATTTGAAAACATTTCAAACATCGTTTAATCGTTTAAATCATTATTGACACTTTCGTAGATCATTCGAAAGTCTAATAAGTTTAAAAGTGACTCTAAAACCTTTAAAAAGTCTAATGAGGAATAAGAAGAAGTACTTTTTATCCAAAGAAAGACATTTCAAACATTGAATTTGAATTTGAAAACATTTGAAAACATTTGAAAACATTTGAAAACATTTGAAAACATTTGAAAACATTTGAAAAGATTTCAAACCTTTCAAATTCAAATTCAAACATTTTAAACCTTTCAAACCTTTCAAATTCAAATTCAAGCATTTTAAACCTTTCAAATGTTTTCAAATTCAATCAAAAACATTTCAAACCTTTCAAATTCAAACCTTTCAAACCTTTCAAACCTTTCAAACATTTCAAACCTTTCAAATTCAAATTCAAATCTTTCAAACCTTTCAAATGTTTTCAAATTCAATCAAAAACATTTCAAACCTTTCAAATTCAAATTCAAACATTTCAAAATCCTCACCTATCCTCGTGATTCTTTTCAATTGTGGAAAGACGATCTCTGTGTCCGAATAAGAGACATCCGAGCATTCTGATGAGACTAAAAATTCAAAAATTGATATTAATTTCTATTTTATTGATTCTATTTAGATAATTTAGATAGTTTAGATAATTATTCAAATATTTCTTTTTTTTTGAATGATTTTAGTAAGAGAAAGATGAGTGATTTTCGATGGAAACTCTCGAGATTTGAGGAAAGCACTTGAAAGATGAAAGGAGAATTCGAGAATTTAAGTACTGGTCATACGGGCATTCACAAGTGAAAAAGAACACTTATTTAGGCTAAGATCACAATTATAAGCTGAAATATCTTGTAAGTACGAAATAATCGTAGAATAATGCTTTCATTCAAATACAACTGAAAACAAGAAAAAATCTAAAAGGCTCTATTGAGCTATTGACATACAGATAGGACTGGCTAACGATTGTTTAACCGTAACAGCCCATAACAGCCCAGAACAGTTATCTAGAACAGTTATCCCTCTTTCCCCCCGTTTTAAGGTTATCTAGTCCGAAGCTGGGCTAAGGTTATCTAGTCCGAAGCTGGGCTAAGGTTATCTAGTCCGAAGCTGGGCTAAGGTTATCTAGTCCGAAGCTGGGCTAAGGTTATCTAGTCCGAAGCTGGGCTAAGGTTATCTAGTCTGAAGCTGGGCTAAGGTTATCTAGTCCGAAGCTGGGCTAAGGTTATCTAGTCTGAAGCTGGGCTAAGGTTATCTAGTCCGAAGCTGGGCTAAGGTTATCTAGTCCGAAGCTGGGCTAAGGTTATCTAGTCTGAAGCTGGGCTAAGGTTATCTAGTCCAAACCTTTGTTTAGATCTTAACTCTTAAACGTTCCTGTATTAAACACAACTTGCTAACTGTAAATTTTAGCTTAAAAGTGCTGTAATGTCTTGTCAACTACAGTATTCAGTATTTCATCCTGTACTTTCTCAGAAATTTAGCTTAAACCTTACTCTAATGGCTTTTTAACAAAATTTTCACAGAGCTAATAGGATTGCAAATCAAGTTAGCTTCTCCATAAAGGGATTTCCCTCTTTCTTTCTTTCTTTCTTGCTTCCTTTCTTTCTTCTTTTCTTTCTTTCTTCTTTCTTTCTTCCTTTCTTCTTCTTCTTCTTCCCCCTTGTCTTCTCTTCTTTCTCATGACAAGTTATGGTACCGAATAGCTCAATGATTAGTTACAAAATCCCCGTAAAAAGCAAAAGGTCGATGGTTGAATCCCCTCTCCGGAAATCTACTTTTTCTTGCCAATTCCTTCACTTCTTTTTCATGCTAATTTCAGCTTTCATCAAAAAAAAAATAGACAAATCCCATCAGCTTTCTTTGTTTCTTTCTTTTCTTTTCCTTTTCTTGTCCCTTGGGAGAAATTTGTGTGACCAAAATGGGGTAAAAATGGCCCCCGGGAGTGTCCCCGATTTCCCCCTTTTTCCCCCAAATTTTCTCCTTTTTTCTTAGGGTGAATCATTGAGTTGGAAAGAAAAAAAAGAAGGGAAAAGGATGTTTTCTTTACGTATACAAATTTTAGTACTCAAGTAAAAAGAACCCGATAAAACTCGAGCTGAAAATGCAATCAGTTTAACTAGTCAAAATCTCAAGAAAATCAGATCGCACTGTTTTCAGTTTGTAGAAGGATACAAACAAATTATGGCCGAATTTTTGAGAGAATTTTCGTTTAACTTTGGCTGGAATTTTTATACAAATTCCACATCAAGGAAATCAATCAAACAGTGGCCAAAATCAGAGAACAATGCGATGTAGCTTGTGCATTCTGTTTCCTGAATTTCCCCAAGGATTGTTCAATCCAATAAAGCTCTATTTGATTTCATTTGAAATCCTTTTTCTTCTAGAAATCATATAAATAGTCAAAATGATCTCTGAAGAAAGTGATGAACATTCAAACTCATTTCTAACATTCTAGAGCTTTCAAATTGTACGAGTAGTATCAAAATCGCTTCCAAAAATGTCCTTTAGCTAAAAGCATTGAAATTTGATCTATCAAAAGATTCAGAGGTTTTTTTAAGATTTGTATTTCCTTTTCCGATTTTTGTTTCCTTTTCCAATCCTTTTCCAATCCTTTTCCGCTTTTTGTTTCCTTTTCCAATCCTTTTCCAATCCTTTTCCAATCCTTTTCCAACCCTTTCCCGTTTCCTTTTCCAATTTTTGTTTCCTTTTCCTTCTCCAATGTCATACAATTAAAAGAAATAACTAAAAAAAAGCCATCTGCTCCTCACATTTTGCTAATTACACCTAGCAAAAATCTCACCCAATCTAGAGATAAGAATCTACAAAAATTTTCCATAATAATCAATTTGCATATATGGAAATCTAGTACTAGTAAGTCGAATCTAGTACTAGTAATCTAATAATCTCGGAACGGTGACGATATTGTGAAATGTTTTGGCTTCGCGCGAGAAAATACATAAACCCATTTACCCATTTTATGTGGGTGAAATGTTTTAGGAAAGGTGTGGGCGAAAGGTTTACAAGGTATCAAACCTTTCGTTTAATCAAACAAACGTTTAGAAAAGCTAAAAAGAAGTTTGCCGTAAGTTTTGACAATTTACATCTTTTCGATCGAATAAAATGAACAATCAAATGTTCATTTTATTAGTCTGGCTAAGAAATATTCAGTTAAACTCGCGACACGCTCAGGCATCGCGACAAGAATTTCATTTCATTTGCCTGTTCTCAACTCTTCAACTCTTTTACGAATCTAATCTAATCTAGTCGATTTTGTAGAAATTTTCGTACCATAATCCTTACCCATTTTATGTGGATGAAATGTTTTAGGAAAGGTGTGGGCGAAAGGTTTGCAAGGTATCAAACCTTTCGTTTAATCAAACAAACGTTTAGAAAGCTCAAAAGAAGTTTGCCGTAAGTTTTGACAATTTACATCTTTTCGAATCAAATGTTCATTTTATTAGTCTCGCTAAGAAATATTCAGTTAAACTCGCGACATGCTCCTAAAGCTTGTAAACCTGAGCTTGTAAACCAACAAACCAGGTTTACAAGGTTTGATACGTTTAGAAAAGCTAAAAAGAAGTTTGCCGTAGGTTTTGACACTTTATATCTTTTCGATCGAATAAAATGAACAATCAAATGTTCATTTTATTAGTCTCGCTAAGAAATATTGAGTTAAACTCGCGACATGCTCAGGCATCGCGACAAAAATTTCATTTCATTTGCCTGTTCTCAACTCTTCTTTTACGAATCTAATCTAGTCGATTTTGTAGAAATTTTCGTACCATAATCCAGTTTCTTTGAACTTTGATCAATAAAAGCTTTAAGCCAATTGTTTTAAGCCATTCAATGGTTTAATTACCGAATTCCAGAGCTCTAGAACAAGCCCTATCCTCAGATACAATCCTCAGATACTTTACATAAAAGTACATCAAATTTGCAGATATACAAAGATTTTATGAGTTGGTTTTTGATTGGTTTCATTGGTTTCATTTATTGTATGTATTGACTTATTTGATTGGGCTTGATCTTTTAAGATTTTTGGGCCAAATGAATCAAAATCAGCTTGATTTCAAAATAAAAATCAATTAAAAACCAATTAAAAACCAATTAAAAACCAAAATTCACTAAATCCAAATGTTTATTCAATAAAAACCTTCTAATCTATTGAATTTGTTGTCCCAAAAGCGTTATCATCAAAATCTTTTCCTTCTTAAGTTTCCGTTTTTAATGGCAAAGTGCTAACAGTGGCCAGAAAAACAGCTGTTGTTGACCCGTTGTGGAATTGGTTTTAAAGGAAAAAGGAAAAAGAGCTGTGTAATCAATTTTTCTTCTCCTCACTTCTACAATTCATCACTTTTATTGAAAAGTTCAAACCACAAAGCTTCAAAGCACAAAGAAGAATGAAAGATCAATTGAGATTTAAAAGAATTCGATAACTAAACCGAAATTCTGTTTAATAGAGTGTTTTCCTGTAATGCGTTTTTTTTAAAAAGCACAATTGGGAAAAAATTTGCTGAATTTGCTTTCATTCGATAGAACAATTCGATTTCGAGTCGAATCAAAGCAAAGAAACGAGCTAAATACATAAATTGCCAACGGCAAACCGACCAAAAAGCAGGCGAAGCTTAACATGGCTGCAACTACTTTAAATTGTGTAGGTTTTCGACTATAAACTTTTGACTACGATTTCGACTACAAACTTTCGACTGTTCTTTGCGATGATGTAAACGAATCCCACTGGTGCAATGAATTTTTTTCTCGTAGCAACAGTTGAGTTGTAAAAATGAAGTTTCAACGGTACTAGAAAGGAAACGTTTACGTCTTCGAGCTCAAAGTACACAGAAATTCATGATTTTCGTAAGAAAACGAACCAGGCATTCGTCTAAAATTCCCTAATTCTCCATTTTCGAATCTAAAATTCGGAGCGCTGAAAAAAAAAGCGGACAAAGGCTCACTCATGAATCTTTCACTCACTTCACACCACCCGAAAAAAGGATTCCAAATTGAAATAACAAATTCAGATCTTTTTTTCTGAGATTTTGACTTTCTTAGCTTTTCTAGAAGAACTCTCGGGGATTTAGTGAGGCGGAAAAATATCGGAACGAGAGGGAGAAAGAATGGCTATTGTTGGCTGATGTTGGCTGGTGTTGGCTGATGTTGTTTGAAATTGGAACCCCTCGATTTTGCCTCTTTTTTTAAAGTCTTTTCTTTCTAAATCTAGAATCAAAGATGTCATGATAAATATAGCGGAAAAGTATCTTTGTGAATCTCTTTGAGATTTGTATATGTTGTGTCCGATTTAGATTTTCGTCCGATATAGATTGAACTTATCGCGGACGTCCGATTTAGATTACAGTCTATATCGGACGTCCGATTTCCAAGAACAACATAAGTGCTGGAAATTCCTGTCAAGTAAATGTCAAGTAAAGAGAAAAGCCACTCAGAAATGGCTAAGCTAAAACCTTCCAATAATTACTCTACAGTAATTCTTGAATGATTCTTAAAGATAAATTCTACATCTACATTCTACAGTAATCATTTTTCAACAATACCTTAGTTACAGTAATCCCTAACCTTGTAACCTTTTCATTATTTCACAACCGAAACTCTTGCAAGTACTATAGCAAGGAATCCTTGAATACAATAATGACAGTGTTCAACCTTACTATTGACTAGGTTTACTAGGTTACTAGAAAGTTTACTACTAGAAATGTTTACTAGAGACTAGAAAGAAACTAGAAACTAAAAGGTTAACTAGAAAGGCTAGAATCACTAGAATACTTTACTAGGTTTACTAGAAGGACTAGAATTACTAGAATTACTAGAATTACTAGAATCTACTAGGATTACTAGGATTACTAGAATTACTAGAATACTTTATTAGGTTTACTAGAGGCTAGAATTACTAGAATTACTAGAATACTTTATTAAGTTTACTAGAATTACTAGAACTACTAGAATACTTTACTAATTTCACTAGAATTTTCTAGGTTCTCACTTGACTGACCTCTCTAGCTAATAAGGTGAAAAGAATTCGGTTGACTGGATCGTAAGGGATTCTTTTTGCACCCATCGAACAAAGGTATGCATGAGATACTCCCTTTACTCCAAGCCAGCCAACCCCACCCCTCCATTATCTTCAAAGAACTCTCTGGGATCTATGCCGGCCTTGTCCTATTACCTGGTCATAAACCCCAGCTCATTTCCCGTCTGTTGACCCATACGGTCATCCCATTGACTATTTGACTAATAACATCGAGATTTCGAGTGTACACAAGGCAAAGATTAGCTGGATTTGAACTTAGGGAAGATTAGAGAATAGGCATTGATATAGGCATTTATATAGGCATTGATATTAGATTATTATACCAGGACATTGTTTAGGAAACAGTCTAAGGAAACAGATTTAAAGGTACAACATTGCAAAGATTGTAAACATTCTCAGAGTCAGAGTCTGATATTGATGATATTGATCGAAATACTGTACTCTACTGCTATCATTACTGACTACCGTAATCTGTTATGAAGTAGTGAAATTATAGCTGACTACGAGTTGGATATGCAAATTTTTCTCGAATAAACATCAATGTTAAAGCTAAGCTAAGACTCTGACTCTGAGAATGTTTACAATTTTTGCAATTTGGTACCTTTAAACCTGTTTCCATAGACTTTAAACCTGTTTAAACTTGTTTCCATAGACTTTAAACCTGTTTAAACCTGTTTCCTTAGACTTTAAACCTGTTTAAACCTGTTTCCTAAACAATTTCCTGGTTTAATAGTCTAATATCAATCAAAACAATTCTAATATCAATGCCTATTGTCTAATCTTATCTAGGCTTAAATCCAGCTAACCTTTTAAATCCAAAGCTTATAAGAATCTTTCAAATTCCTCAAAACCAAATGTTCTTTATCATCTCAATCAAGATCCAAACCACATTCACAATTGCACAAATCCCCCAGAGACTTCTCTTTGTCCGAGTTGACTGGAATTGGCTCTTGGATAGATTTTTGACATGGGTGATGATTGAAAGGGAAATGAGGGTACCCCATTCCACTCATCAAATAGTTATCTCTCGATTCCCAGTCACAAGCAACTCATTTCCTCAAAAGATTTTACATTGCTATTGCTGGTTTACACTGCTATTAGAATAGAAACAGTGTTGAGTGGTGATTGCTGGGGAAATGATGGCAAGGACTATAACTTTCTACCAGCAAGGACTGTCCAGGAAACAAAGCGGCTAGTAGAATAGCTAGTAGAATAGCTTTACAGTCTGTATTCTACAAGGGTGTTCCCAGCAATCTCGAGATTTCATCACCCTTTTAGTGAGTTCTAGAATCTCGGAAGCGGAGGGGGCAACAATGCATAAAGAGTTGCATAAGCTCATAGCTGAATATGGGAAAGTAGGGCAGTGAGAAAAAGGGAGAAAGAGACAAAGGAGATCCCCGGAGTCGAGTTACTCCACCAAAATCCCTTGTTAGCTTTGGCCACCCAATAGTGGAATGAAAGGACACCATGGAAGGGGAATAGAAAGAGAATTGAAAGAATTGAAAGAGAAGAAAGAGAATTGAAAGAAGAGACACCATTATGTCTCGATCAAATGGATGATGGGGTATAAAGGAGAGAAATGGGGAGTCACGTCAACTACTACACATTGAGGAGACTCGATTTCCATATTTCATTTCGATATTCCGATTGGCGGATGAGTTATGATTGTTATAGCTATGCAATAGATAACTTATGCAATAGATAACTTAGAATTAAAAGCCTATGAGCATTGAATACTCAAGAAAAAAACTCGTACTAATAAAAAACAAATTACAAAAGGTTTAGAGAATATTTAAAGCTTTTGCCTGCCTGTACATGAACTATAGCTCAAAAATATAGAAACTCAAGAGCTTTAAATATTTAGAATACCACAATTGACAACTCGGCCACGGTTTTGCTTTTTTTTTTATACAGAAATCCAGAAAGTTTAAATATCATCATGTTGTTTGACTTGCGAAAGCCTTGTCTTTGCTCTAATTTGACATTGTTTAAGCTAAGACTATTTGCTACATAGTCACTGCAAACGTAAAAATCTGTAGAAAGATCTAAGCGTAAACTACGAACGTAGACCTGCGCAATATAAACTATAAAAATGATGAACCTCACACTACAAACGCGTCTAACTTGCTTCAAATCTGCCGGATTGACATGATCTATAGCTCAAAAAATAGAGAAACTCAAGAGCTTTCGAATGGACTAAAGCACACCGAGAAATATCAATGCTAAAGAAAGTTATAGTGGTTTGTAGTCTTGGCTCGATCGTTTCGACTACGCGCGAGTACGACCCGTTTCGTATCAGGATTACAAACCACTGTAACTTTCTTTAGCATTGATATTTCTCGGTGTACTTTAGTCCATTCGAAAGCTCTTGAGTTTCTCTATTTTTTTGAGCTATAGATCATGTCAGGCCGGCAGATTTGAAGCAAGTTAGAAGCGTTTGTAGTTTGAGGTTTGTCGTTTTTATAGTTTATATTGCGCAGATCTAGTTCAGAGTGTTTCCTTCAGATCTTTCTGCAGATCTTTTACGTTTACATAACTATATAGCAAATAGTTTTATGCTTTTACTGCAAATTAGAGCAAAGACAAGGCTTTCGCAAGTCAAACAACATGATGATATTTAAACTTTCTGGATTTCTGTATAAAAAAAAAAGCAAAACCGTGGCCGAGTCGTCAATTGTGGTATTCTAAATATTTAAAGCTCTTGAGTTTCTATATTTTTGAGCTATAGTTCATGTCAGCCAGGTAGAAGCTTTAAATATTCTCTAAACCTTTTGTAATTTATTTTTTATTAGTACGATTTATTATTAGTTTTTTTCTTGAGTATTCAATGCTCATAGGCTTTTAATTCTAAGAGATTCTAGATTTAATTCTAGATTCTAATTCTGCATTTAATTTTATGCTATCCATTAACTATAAGTTATCCATTATTAGATCTGTTATGTGTTTATTAAACTCGATTTTTGTAGTCTTAACTCGTTTCGTTTCGACTACGCGCGAGTACAGTAAACAGATAAAAGGCTAAATTACATTATAAACTAATCTCAATATCCTCTCAATCTATATATCCTCAATTCGCTAAAAGATGCCGAATTCAAACTAGTGGTCATGATGAATTTGCATAATGTTAATTAGCACGGGGAAGTCAGCTATGAAAAGAGAAAAGAGACGAACACAAATGAATCAAATTGTGTCCCGCCATTCGAGTGGACTCTCATCCTTTTTCACCAAAATAGGACAGATGGCAGACACAAAACTACTATGAAAGTAGTCAAGTCGATTGGGAAAGATTACATAAAACTGATCAAAATCATCATTAGGTTTTAGTTTTAAACAGGAAATTTACCTCTTCCCTTCTTTCTGACACTTCTTTCTTCTTTCTTTCTTTCTTTCTGTTCTCTTTTCTCTTCTCCTTAAAGCTTTTTTTACTTTCAAATGCAAGTTTTGAGTTTAAAACAGAAATTGTATTATTGAATTGTCTTAAATTAAATTAAATGCATTAGAAATGATACGTTTGAGTACAAAATAAATGAAAACTAATCGATTAATGATCGATCAAAGTCTAACAGTTGAAATTTAACTAGAGAACTTATAAAAAACACTCTAAAACCAATTTTACTGCAAAACTGAATACCGTAAATACTATAATAACATCCCACCCCCGTACAGTCGCGTAGTCGCAAAGTTTTTTAGTATTTCATTTTTTTCAAAGCGCCCATACTTTCAAAAAATGTGTCTTTGGTATCAAAAAATAGCCCTGAATTTCAGCTATTTTTTGATACCTAAGCGAGCATTTTAGCATAAACCAGTGTCGAGAAAAACTCATTCAAAGCTAGACTACTCAACACTCCGCACCATCATTATGGGGGTGCGGTACTATTATAGCATTTACGGCACTTCTTTAAATCTTTAAATCTTCATGCTCATATCTCAATATTTTCAAACATTTCACTCAAACACTCGATTCTTTCCATCAAATCGATCTTCATTCATTTCTCGCAAAGACCCAAATCTCTTCAAATCAATCATTTTCTAATCCATCTTACAACATATTGCTTTGATGGGAACCTGTCCCTTTCCCTGTCCCTGTCCCTTTCCCTTTCCCTTTCCATTTCCCCCAATCCATTTCATCTCAATCAATCCCTTTCCTTTAGGTATTCCTCTTTGTTCAGCTCAAAATCGCGCAACCATATGCCACCTTCCCTTTTCTCCTCACTAAGCCCATCGCAGCTCTATTATGGATTGAGTGAATCGACGAGAACAAACAATTTTCACACCATTCACATTTGTTTAGTTTAATGAGGGCCAAAAAGTAAGCAATGAAATCCAGGCAAGAATTGAGTCAAAAACCGGGCCAACGTAGTTGGGGTGGGGGTAGGGGGCACTATCTTAAACGGGCAACAGAGTTCGGGGTGGGTGGGCAAAAGGTTTGCATTTTAAAAAAATCGAATTCAGTCAAAAACTTGACCAATATTAAGCAGAAAACAGAAATTTTCAAATTGTGAGCTCGGAAAGAACTTGGAAGAACGAAGAAAGTAGAAGATTATTGACTGAATTGAATGAACAGTCAAGACTCATCGTAACCTTTGAGTGTAAGTGATGCTTAGATTAGTGAAATCAAACAATAGTACTATTTAAAAACGAAGACTTTCAAGATCCATTAAAAAAAAGAATAACTTTAAATAACTTTTTTTGCACCAACCTCTAGCAATTAGTAGCGTGAAAAGGAATAAAATTAGAGAAAACTCGTGTCGAGTCATCATTTTCACATCATTTCTTCAAGAGATTTGAGCTGAAAACAACTATTGTTGATTTGAGCTGAAAACAACAATCTAATATCTAAAAAGATCCGAAATTTGAGCTGAAAACGACAAGAAATCAAGAAATATAATTGAATTCCACGCAAAATCCGTGTCATAATGGAAATGGTTTAATTGGAAGAAAGAAAAGAAAGAGAAAACAGTACAGATAAACAGTACAGATAAACAGTACAGATAAATAGTACATATAAACAGTACAGATAAACAACAGATAAACAATACAGATAAAGCAAATAGATAAATAGTACAGATAAACAGTACAGATAAAGCAGACAGATAAATAGTACAGATAAACAGATAAACAACAGATAAACAGATAAACAGATAAACAACAGATAAACAAACAGTACAGATAAAGCAGAACAATTCTGAATACTCTGAAGAAGTGAAATTCAAGAAATTTATCTAAATTCGATATCTAAAGTTGAAAAAGATCAGAAATTTGCAATGTTATAAAACTAAAAGTTAACTAAGCCACAAAAGGATCCACGAAAAGCTCAAAATTCTCGAACAGAGATGGAAAATTCCTGTTTTTTCCCCTTCAACGAAGAGCAAATTGTATTCAAGAAAAGGGAAAACCCCTGGGACACGGAATTATGCAAAAAAAAAAAAAAAAAAGGCTGCGGAAAGCTTCTCTTTTTGCTAAATCCCTCTTTCTATTGATTGCACTTTTTTGGGAATGAAAAGGGAACTGGGAGGGACTGAGAGTGTGGCCCTTCCCGCTATTTCCCTCCCCTCTCCCCCTCACATCAAAACAACATTATGTTCCTTTTGTTAATGTTAGATTAGAATTAGATTTTAATCTAATTTTTTGCATTACTTTGTCAAAAATCATAATTTGAAAGAAAAAAAAATGAATCAGAATGAACCAGAACCAAAAACCAAAGGAAATGAAGCATTTCATCTTTTAAACACAAAGTAGACGTTTAGAAAATGTTTTTTTTTAAAAGATTCTATACTTTTAAGTATTTTGTGCTCAAAAATGTAAACACAATCTTTCTAATGCATTCAAATTTCATTATTGATCATTGGCAAGAAAAACAAGAAGCCAGCGTGCTAGAAAGGGTGGGTTTATATTGGAAAGCACAGAGATTTGAGCTGAAAACAACTATTTTCTAAAGATCTAAAAAGATCCGAAATTTGAGCTGAAAACGACAAGAAATATAATTGAATTCCACCAAGTACAAATGATAATTCTATTGAAAGAAGCTGTAAATTTGAACTTGAACTGGTGTAGGACATTTAGCTTTAAAAAAAAGGCACAGAATGAGAGTTAAAGCTCTCAGAATTACTGAATTCACTGAAGTAAATGTGAAAAAAAAACTTCTGAATATGGAAAAGCAGATATTTTCGGATGAAAAAAATGTGAGTGAGGGGGGGGGGAAGGGAGGGTAAAAAAGTAAAAAAAAGGAATTCATTCAAACCGCGCCTCCTCATATCCAAATGGGTAATCCCTTTCAATCCCCCTCTCATCTCTTCTCCCTTTCCCCATCTTTTGAGTCCCATTTCTATAAGTCGCTTCTCTTTTTCCATATTTTTTCTAGCTTTCTAGCTTTCAAGTTTATTAATTTCCGGTACATGATGAAAATAGATCAAATGTGAGAAAAGTAACGCTTCAGAAGTGTCACTGAAGCAAATGTCGGCTCTATATATTGAGCTAAAAGCAATCTAAAGATGTATGACTATTTGAAATTTGAAATTTCAATAAATAAATGCTTAGTTTAGATAAATAACCCCAATCTAGACATGAATTGAGCACAATAAGCCAATGTTCTTGTTATCTAAAGAGTGTACCAAATACCGTAAACTTTAACAGTTATTATAACACTAATTTAGTTGATTACAGCAAGCGAGGGCAGGCTTTGAAGCATCTACCAGAGTCGACGCTCGGAAAAAGTTTATGAGAGGACAGTAAGCCAAAAGAAATCCATTTGAATTAAAGCCAAAGAAAAATAACAAGCTGAAAATCTAAAAGAATATAAAATTTTGCATAAACATCTAAACGGATGCTAGGTGGAAGAGCCTGGGGACCTGAGCTGAGGGTGGAGGGAAGCTAAGCCCATTTGGGGGCGGTCCTCCAACCCTTTCATTTCTTCTTCCAGTCTGACCCTTTCCCTTTTCCATCCCCTTATGTCCCTTGTCCATCCTATTATTGGAAAGAGAAAAAGAAAAGCTCAAAAGAACTGGACACAACTGACCAGCTGCACAAACCCCCGTGGGTTTTAGGGGGCTGTCTTGGACCACTTCTCCGCCTATCCCCTGGAGTGATTAGGAAACGCTTCTCATCCCTTCCAGTCACACTAATTGATATCTGGCAATATTCTAGTAGAATTTTAGAGGGTTTTGAAAATCCTTTACAGTCCAAGCTTCGAAAAGGACCTGAATAAACCTTAAGCGAGCAAAACGTCAATGTTTTTCAAACCCAAGCCTAGTTTTCTGTGAAATTCGCATTCTATAAAGAATTAAAATGCAAATCGGGCAGCGCAAAGTAAAAGTTAACAAAAATGTCTGAAAACAAAGCTGCAATGCAATGATTGAATGGGACGGAACTCAAGTGGAGGAGATTACATGGATGACCCCCCTTCAGAAAAGGGGAAAAGAAGGGAGGGTGAGACAAGAAACATTGAGAAATGAAGGGGGGAACATCAGGGAATCGGAAAGGGGACAAATGGATTCGATTAGGCGATGTCCCTCCCCCATTGCCCTTTCACATCCCTCATTTCAAACACCCCATCAGTCAACCCCTTTTCAAAACATTCACAACATCGTTTGTGAAGTGCGTATCAGAGAAAAGGGACATCTCTTGAGCAGTTTTTTGCATAACAAATTTGAGTCCAATGAGAAGTTTGAAACATGTTTTTTATCTGAACTTTGCTCGAAAATTTATGCGCTATATATCAACAAAACAAAAAACAACGTGAAAACCACCGGACTACTTTTTTTGTTGGATCCATTCTGCCCGTTTCGCTCGTAACTCCGTGTCCCAACTGACGAAAGGCTCCATTTTGAGTTTTCCTACCGTCGAAGTGAAGAACTCGTGTAAATCGATACCTAAATTACCATTTACAATTCGGTAAAACGGCGACTCGAACCGTATTTCTGCTCGTAGTCAAACGCTTGCGCGATCATATCGAATTTGTCGAGGTGATACACAACCTGAACAAGATCTACAATAAGTAAAGCGAAATCTTTGCGAATCTGAGTCCTTTAAATTTACCTTGGCTTCTTCCGTGCTTTGTTGCTCATATTCCCGCCATAATGTTACCCAGTCAGTCCCAACGTCTTCCGGTACAAAAGTGGCAATTTGTTGCATAGCCTATAGAAAAAATTATATGCATTTAAAATAATGGCTTACTTTAGCTTCCAATGCATGTTTATTCTCCTCGCTGATTCCACAATGCGGCGTTATGTCACCAACGATAGCTTCGCCAATATCGTGAACCAGTGCCATCCTAAAAGGTTAATCATTAAGCCAAAGTCAAATAAATTAACGCTAACCATTTATAAAAAGGAACAAGATTTACCGGACACATCTGGAGGCATCGATCCCAGGAATTTGTCCATCTAACGCCATCGCGAGAACAGCCATTCGATACATATGCGAGGCCACAGTTTCTGGTTCATCAATCTAAACCGCTCTTTTGTAGCGCAAACTGATAAAATACCAACATTATTTTTAACCCATCCCGTTCGTTTCAGATGCTTCAACGTGTCACAAATTTTTAATAATTCAAAAATTTTCATCTAAAACGACTTCCACTATTTAGCAAACGGTCCATTTTTCCAAAAATTCAACAAGCATCCAGCTATATTTTAAACGCATGCAAAACACAATACATGTATTTATTCACATTTACAAGGATAAAAACGAGATTTGAATGAAATCTTAAAGCGTTTTGAAAGCAAATTTAATATAACGTCACTTTAATATTCATGTGAAAGGTCAAAAGAGAATTGAGTCATTCTTGATCATCGCGGATAGTTGGGGCTTCGCCAGGCACACCGCTAATATTCATACTGTCCATATTCTCCGTCACATCCTCGTATGATTCTTCATCGGCAATCATTTGGTTCATTTTCTAAAGAAAAACGTTGTTAACTACGGTAGGATTTCCATGATAAAGCGCTGTCAAGTCTCGACCCCTCTAGTCAACTCTTATTACTACCAGGTAGAAACTTTGAAATAGTAAACTTACTTGCATAATCGTTATTGCATCATGAATATCTCGTTCCTCAACATCCTGATGAGCGATAACTACGCGCCTCTACAATCAAAGTAGTAAATCAATACAAACAAAATTGTACCTTCACAACTTCTTGTTCAAGTTTCGTTATTTCCTTTTCAAGTGCATCATCGTCGAAATTTGAAGGAACCTGAATAATTAATTGTAAAACATTGTAAAAAATCATTACCTCAAGGTTGGATTCATGTTCTGGCAAAGTAACATGCTCTGGAATCCGCATGACATAACGTTTCAAGTTATCCTAAATTTAACAAGAGGATTATTGTTTTCAAAGTTCAAAACCTCAAATTTGTTCATCGCATTATGAAGAAGGTTGTCTTTCAATAGCGACTTCGTCAATTCTTGGCTAACGGCTGCGGTCTTCATGTTCTAAACCAAAGATAGTACATCGTATGCCCAAAACCCGTTGGTACATCTGGCATCTGTTCATCGTTAACCATTTCTTCGACCATTCGAGCCCAATTTTCGACGATGATATTGTGAACTGAAATCAGCAATATAAAAGCTAACTATGTATGATTTTCATGCTAAATAATACCCGAATCGGTTAACGCTGCCGGAGAGAAACCGAAGTGTTGCTGTGAAAACGTGTTTGTGTTCTCGCCCAACAAATCCATCCTAAAAAGACGTTTAATTCAGTACGACAAAATCTTAACTATGCCTACATAACAAAGGTAGTCAAGTATCCGAATGTATCATACTACTTCAAAAGCACAACGAAGCCAGATACCATAAAATTTATTGCATTTGAAACAAAACCGAATTACAGACAAATATATCACTACAATAATTCACAAAGAACCCGAGCAAAAACACACCGGACAAAGGCAAAAAAATATAATCAATCAGGTATAAGAAAATACCGGGAAAATTACGAAGCACTTTGTTTTTTGTGGTTGAACAAATCCATCGTTGAGATAGTCGTAAAAGTGGCAATGTATTTGTCCGTATCCTTGTCGAAGTCATCCCCCCGCGTGCGCTTCTTTTGCGGTGAATTGAGCTTCTCATCACCTAAAATTTTGTTCCAAAGGTTGTAAAATTTGAGTTTAAAGTACCAGTTTTGTTTTGTTGATCCATAGCGTCTTCCAAAATTGCTTTCTGCGTATTTGCGAGAGCGTTGAGGTGGTCGAGTCGTGAATACTTTGTGAAGTGCACAAGGTGAACAATCTGAAGAAATGTTGATTGATAGGGTAAACCAAAGTCCAACTTACCTCACGATTTCCTCCACAATTGAAAACTATTTCGTTCATCCAAACCAACGGCTTATAACTAAACGAATAAATGAAATCCTTAATTTAAGAACTGCTTACCATTGAAAGAACTTGGAGTTGAAGTCGGAAAATGGAATGCTTTTTACATAAGCTGCTTTCTTGAGTTTCTCTTGTGGCATATCGGCAAAGTAGTTGACAACGTCGCTACCGAATTCAAATAATTTGAAATCATCAGCATTGAGTAGGTACTTGATCTAAATAAAATAAATAGTTTTAGATAAGAATTAACAAACCTCGAGCATCGTTTGAAGAGCCAAAAGCATATTTCTAATCTTTGCGGCACGTTCTTCGACGGGTACAAGCTTCTATAAACGTTTTTAATTAAAAAGCTTGATACAATAAATATTGACCTTAGAATGGAAATTGAGGTGCTGCATAATTACGTCTTCATCTCTGACAAGCTTTTCTTTGACAAATGCATCTTTGATGTCCCTATAATTCCAAATTAGAAAAGACTTAACGTTCAAAACTCACCGTGCAACTTTCTCGGCACCTATTTCAGCCAAGATCTGAATCGAAGTAAGGCCTTCAAGTCGTGGCAGGATTAATTCATTATTGCAAGCGTCTCTGATCAGTCGAGCAAGTGTCGTCTTGTTGTTTTCGTGAATCTGAAAGAAAAACGAGTAACAGAAAAAAACCTTTACAAACCATGCTCTGTGGTTTTCCATCAGCCAAACCAGTAAAAGTCAAACGGATTGCGCGCACAAGTTGTTGATGCGACTCGCTGAGCTTCAGAACACCCCACAATTGCTCGGTCATGTCAAGAAAACGGCTGAAACTCTATATTTCAAGTATGCGCTTTAAACCATACCCTTCTCTGCTGTCCTTCGCTCCGATTTGACAAGTATCAATAATCTAAATCCAGTGATACAAAAGTTGCTACCAAAAACTTACTTTGTGAATTTGGTTTGCTAGAGCAGTTTCATCATTGGACGAGTCAAATTTAGGCCATTTCATCTGCTCAATATCATTTGTTAACAAAGCGTTGCACATTGCCTAGATAATTCCTATTGATAAATCTTTGCAAGAACATTACCAAAATTTGATCCAATTCATTAACAAGCAGGCGGCACCCAAAACGAGAGTCTCGCCAGCCTGGTTGAATTTTTAAATATCCCGTAGCCGATGAAGCAGGTTGAGTTAGCATGGCTTTCTAACCACGTAAAAATTAATCAAAGATATGCATAGCATTTTCCTCACAGCATTTTCCTGCCAATTGAAAGTGACGATTAGTTCCCCCGATTCAACAGCTTTCTCCTTTGAATCCCGACGTGGATAGAGCTAAACTTCATTTTTCAAATCATATCCAATTAAACTTACATTGTATATAGCCGTGGCTTCACATCGAGGCTTGGTTCCAGTAACTCGCTGATTTAATTGATTGATTTCAACCATCGCATTTGACGAACCTAGGTAGGTATATTAGAGTTTTCGGTATTGCACAAAGAACTACCAAGAAGCCTTGTATGCAAACTCATGATGCGCCCATTCGCAGGTCTTTGAAGTCCTAAAACAATTATTTCAAAGAATGCAATTCAAAGCCAACCAAAATACACCGAGCCCATGCCATCACTTGCTTCAGCAACAATCAACATTGGAAATTTGTTGATACTCGCGTCAAAATGTTCAGATCCGTCCCTGACAAGCCTCAAACTGTAAAGTTAAACACTTTTCTCAAGAAACTTGCTTTTGGCATAAACGAATGGCGTCTTTGCAGGGGATCGGAGTCGTCTCAAAGCATTCGATCGTTGCATAGTTAATGTTAATACGTCGCAGCCTGGTGTCCTTTGCCTAAAAGAAGTTTATGAAACAATTTGTGAATGAAAGCTACTTCTGCGGCTCGATCCAGCTTGTCAAGTGTAAGAAAGGAGAAGTGCAGTGGGCCGTTTTCATCGTCATCGGATTCACAGTAAGCAGGGCCTGCTCCAATCGCTGGACACTGGGCATCCTAAAAATCTAGGTTAATAAAGATTACAAAAAGATTAGTATAACAACACTTACCTAAAAAATTAAACAAAACTCAAACTTACATTCACTTTTGGCAAATCAATAACGACGACCATTTGGTTGGCTGCAAAGCTGATCGTCGAATCTTCGAAAATCGGGACCTAAAATCAGCAATCAAACACGAAAGTAAAGAAACAATGTACCTTTCTTTTATCCACAATTCGCACTCGATATTTCGACAACTAAAAGAAAAGAATAAGGCATAATTTAGTCAAAATTTACCAAGAGTTCGTCATCACAAACTCCCCGCAACAAACGATCCATCGTAGATGAGCTTTAATGCTAAATTAAAAGAATAGCAGGGGCTCTATTGGCAAAGCTTTTGCTGGGAATAGAGTGGCGGAGAGGTTAAATAAAACTACAACGCAACTTTTCGCAAAATACTGGCAACTTTGCTGTCATGGGTGGTATGAAAGAGGTAATCAAAAACTATGAGCACTTTGACCCGACTTGGTCAGACCCTATTCTACGCGTTTTTTAGTCTTGTTTTTCATTTTCTGGGATAATCAAACACACTTAATCGATTGGCGACATCTTTAGAGTATTTTAAACAAGTTTTCACGTTGTATTTTGCCCCCTCGTCATTTTCAAGCTTAGCAACACTGGAGAGACAAAACTCCAGCTAGATTAACAAAATATCAATAAAAATTGTTCAAAACTTTCTAAAAATACTATTAATAGATTCAGTATATTTGATTACCCCAGAAAAAGTAAAATAACTTTGGTAAAATAGTCAATAAATATAATCTGACCAAATCGGATCAAAGTGCTCGTCCCCCGAAGTTTATTAGTACCAGTCGTACTACTACGTCAGGTAAAAACATTGGGGTAGCTACTTTGCGCCAAATTATTTGCGCAATTCGCCATAACTTTTTTCTAAGTCAAAGATTGGCCATCTTTATGATTTTGGTGTTATTTTTTTGAACTTGTTGAGATCTAGAAGTTACGAAGTTACGCCGCAAAACAAATTCTGCGCAAAGTAGCCACCCCCCAGTAGGCCGTGGAGAGAAATGAAATAAACTTGGTTGCCGCCTGATTTCTCTGTAGGGGTACGGTAGGTTAGGTGCGCTTTAGCGAAACATAAAATGCGTTTTTCTAAAAGGTCTAGATTACTGGGATTGCGCACTTGTAAACATACGCCTGACCTCCTTTTACCCAAGAATGTGCTCTTTTGGTTAAAGCATTTTCTAACTAGTAAGCTTGGGGAAAAGCCACGGTATCCACCTGTCTTTCTAAATTGATTTACGGTAGTCTAGATTACGGTAGCTTTTCTTTATTTTAAAAACTCTAACTCAAGAGCTAAACTCTAAATCCACACATGTCATAGATCGCAGCCAGGTTCATAGTTCACACAAATTCATGATGAAATCGATCAGTCTTTCCATTTACACCTCAACTCTGCATCATCTGAGAAATGCCCACTTTCGCAATGCGCTCACATCCAAATCTTTTCCCGAGACGCTTATCAAATTGTGCTTTCATTTCGAACTTTTCACTATAAAAGACCACTCGTAAAAGGAAAATGTTATCAAAAATAACAAAGTCATACATTGTCTGTTTTCTGTTTTCTGTTTCCAGTTTCCGGCAATTTCCAGTGGACTCTTTTTCATATCCCTTCCAGTACCTCTTTCAACAGGATTTTTTTTTAAATTTACGTTTAGCAAGCTTTTTTTGAAATCTCTAAACTCTTCGGATGTACTTTGGAGGTGCTAGCAAAAGCGCCAAATTATTTGCGCCCCGTATGATTTGCGCCAAATTTGCGCTTCTCAAGACACTTTCCTACCAACTCTGATCGTTTATTTTAATTTTTTTTATACTACTTTTTCTCGTCGATGATTCTCGCTATTTCGCCGCCTTCACCGGATCTGAAAATAGCATAAAATCGATATAAAGAGCAAAAAGCCCAATCGGTGACACAAAAATGACTGTTTATTGGGCTGTATATTTATTTAAACGTGTCCTCTAATTGAAAACAGTGTGAATTAAAATTGTGAAGCAGAAAACTGAAAAAAAAGTTGCTTAGAAGTTGGGAAAAAGTGAGCTGAAAGTGATTTGCGTAAGCGTAAATTTGGCGCAAATGATACACGGCGCAAAAATTTTTGGCGCAAATGAAACGTGGCGCAAAGAAACGCGGCGCTTTTGCTACCACTTCGTACTTTGAGCTCAAAAATGCAAACGCACCCTTTCTGGTGCACTGAATTCTGCACTTTTTCCACACTTTTTCACTTCTTACAGTTGATCATTTTTGAGGGAAAAATGGAAAATTCAGTGCACTAGAAAGGCTGTGTTTACATTTTTGAACACAAAGTACACATTAAAGTATTTTCGTCATGATTCTTTTTAACTGGAAAAAAGAGAGAGAGATCAAGAGGAAAAGGCACAAAAATTGCATCACTGACTTGTTTGTTCTTTTCATTTCTTTTCCCTTTATTTGATCAAAGATCAAACATTTCTATTTTCTCTCAAAAAAAAAAAAATCTTTTCTCTGGGTTTCCCATCCAAATTTCATCAATTTCAAAAACAGTTCCCTAGAAACAAATATTTCAAGAGTTTCTGCGCTTTCTTCAAATTGTTTTTTTTTTCATTTCATTTCATTTCTTTAGCTCTAGCTTTGAAATCAATTCCTAAAAAATTGAAAAACTAGAAATGTTAGAAAAACTAAAATATTAGTCTCTGACTTTGAGTTAACCCAAAAAATGGGGTAGGCTAGTTTCCGTAACTTTTTTTGCGCAACAGGGTCGTTTGCGCAACTCACCATAACTATCTTCTAAGTGGGCTAATCTTTATGATTTTGATTTCATTTTGTTGCACTTATTGGGATCTAGAAAATGAGACCAAAATCATAAAGATTAGCCCACTTAGAAGAAAGTTATGCCGAGTTGCGCAAATAAAATGGCGGAAATTAGCGTACCCCCAAAACTGAATACTTTATCTTTAAATCTTCATGCTCATATCTCAATATTTTCAAACATTTCACTCAAACACTCGATTCTTTCCATCAAATCGATCTTCATTCATTTCTCGGAAAGACCCAAATCTCTTCAAATCAATCATTTTCTAATCCATCTTACAACATATTGCTTTGATGGGAACCTGTCCCTTTCCCTGTCCCTTTCCCTTTCCCTTTCCCTTTTGCGCAAAAGACCCAGTTGCGCAAAAGACCCTGTTGCGCAAAAAAAGTTGCGGAAACTAGCCTACCCCCAAAAAATAACTAACCACCAGTTATTTTCTTGATTGAATATTTGCAAAAAATTATAAAATTTAGACAAATTTCACTAATTTTCAATGAATACTCAATCAATTTAATGTAAAAGGTTAAAAACCCCAAATTCTTAACTCAGAAATTCAATTTCTAGACAAGGTAAACCCGTTTCAAACAAATTTTACGACTATACAGTGGTCCACAAAAGTACTTTTGTGGAGCTAATTTTTAAGTACCTTATTGGTTTTGTTTTATACTTTAATTTGTATGTAATGTATACGGATAAATCTTATATTCTTCAAAAGTAGAGTCTTATAGGTAGATAAAAATACCCTACTCTTTTTCTGAAATGTCAATTTTGCAAGATTTCCTTACAAAACATACTGTTGGATGGCAATGGGGCATTACTTTTGTGGACCACACTGTATCTCTCATTTTTCAGTGAAATTCGTTTAAGATGATAACCAACTGACTTTTTAGGTTTACGAATATAGAATCGAATATATAATCCTGCTCTAATTTCTGACTTCTGACTTCTGACTTTATCAAAACTTTTCTCTTTTCCTCTTGTTTCTTTTGCTTTTTGAGTCAAAAAGTCTTATCAGAACGTGCAAAAGAGCATCGAATCCATTCATTGAAAGCACTTGGCCCGATTTGACCCCTGAACTGCTTTTTTTTAGATATTCTGTTTATTTTAAAACATTTCTTTTACCATTTTTACCATTTTAGGAGAAATGCGTCTACTCTTGCCATTGTTTTGCCTTCTTTCGATCGCTCATTCGGCCAAGATCGGCATCGTGTTATTGGAGGTGTCGAATAGTCAGGTACAATGTTCTAAATTTTGAAATTTTAATTTTAAAAGCATTTGGTCTCTTTTTAAGATTTAAACGCTTGTTTAAACGAGTCTAAAGAACGCTGGTAAAATTTGTTTTGATTTGTTGGATTTGTTTCTCTTTAGAAGTACCAAAGAGCACTTTTTTTACCTAGTTTTTGTCTTTTAACTTTTTAAAAAGCTTTTATCTTTTAAAAAATTATCAAATTTCAGAAGATTGACAGATTAGAATCAATTTTAAACAGGAACCACATTTAGAGAGATAAGGAACCAAATTTAGAGAAATAAGGAACCAAATTTAGAGAAATAAGGAACCAAATTTAGAGAAATAAGGATTTTTAACCATTTTTTTTTACCAATTTTAACCATTTTTTTTTAAACTTTCTAAATCTAGATCATTTTCAACAAACGAGTCGCCGAGACGCTTCTCCAAGCGAATCATTCGATCACAATGGTCATGATTCGCCCGTTCGACAAGAAAAAGGTGAAAATCGAGATCGATCCAAGGATAAAAAGTAAATATTTCTAATCTATTTCTAATCTATTGCTAATCTTTCAAGATTTTATCCACTCTTTAGTCAAAACCGTCGACGCAATGGTTGCCGGTGTGAACATCGATGAGTGGGAGAAAGAGCAATCGGAGATGATTTTCGAGGTACAGTTCATTTATTAACCGGTGAATACTATTCTATTTATATTTCTGCTTTACTTATATTTTACTGACTACTTTTATGCGAATTCTTTAGGATGTATCGATTTGGGACGCCCGGCAGAGGAAAATGATGTCCAAGATGAGTCTAGCGATGACTGGATCGTGCGAGGGTAGGTTGAAATTTTTATTAAAAACTTATTGCTAGGGTTGGTCTTACAAGTTATAAGCTAAAATAGACCAAACCGGGGTTAGGGTCATGACCTGACCTTGATCTCGCCTTACCTGCCCTAACCGAGGCTATAAGCCGGTCAAGCCAGGGCATGGCCTAGTTGATCCTGGTCTACAAAATTCTCGGGCCAAGGTTACGGATTACGGTAGCTAGGTCATGTTTTAATCCGCTCAACTGATCTATTTGCGAAAACTACGTAGTCAAACCGTTCAGTTAACCCGATTCTAGGGTCTTTCGATGGAGATCACAAGGTTCATTGAATGAAACTAAAATCAGGCTGATCGAATATAAATTGACTTGATTACAATAGTTTTCACAAACATAAACCTTTTATAATAGAAAACACATT